TAGTGCAAAAGTTATACCACTATGGTGTAACAGAATCTAGTTGCAAATGGTTCCATTCTTTTTTGACAGATCGGCGGCAGTACGTGGAAATAGATTCGGAAAACGGAGATTCTCTAAAGTCGAATGTAAAAAGCATAACTAGAGGTACGCCACAGGGCTCGATTCTGAGCCCGATACTTTTTGCACTTTTTACAGCAGATCTTCCAAAAGTGGTACATCATAGCAAGGTCCATCTCTTTGCAGACGACACGCAACTCTACCAGTCCTTTTCCCCTATAAATACTAATACTGCCTTACTACGTATCAACGCGGATTTGCAAAATATTTGCCAGTGGGCAAAACAGAATGCGCTGCTGTTAAATGCAAGCAAATCAAAGTTTCTGGTAACAGGTACGAGAGTCCAAAGGGAGAAAATTCTAAGATATAATCCTATTATAACTTTGGGAAACGACAATATTGAATTGGTAAACAGTGCCAGGAACTTGGGCCTAATAATGGACAGTGAGTTGCGATTTATAGAGCACATTAATGTAAAAATTAGAAACGCCTTTTATCGTCTAAAGCTGTTGTACCGGATTAGAAAATACCTTTCAGAAAAAGTTAGACAGATACTAGTCGAATCGTTGGTCCTGTCTCATTTCAACTACTGTGATGCGGTATATGGACCGAGACTCCTGGAGAAAACGAAACGTGCCATACAGCGAGTACAAAATGCTTGTGCTCGTTTTTGCTTTAATATTCCAAGACGTGTACACGTTACTTCCTACTTAAATCGAGAAAATATATTAAAAATGGAAGCACGAAGACAAGTCCATTTGACTTGTTTTGTACACAAGTTAATTGTACTCCGAAAGCCAAAATATCTCTTTGACAAGCTAGACTGGATCACGAACGTTTATAGCATAAATACTCGACGAAGACAGGCCAACCTTTTAGCCACGCCGTCACACAGGACGACTGGCTACAGGGGTGGTCTGAAATACTCAGCGACGAAAATTTGGAATGATTTACCACCACCTCTCCGTCATAGTAGTTCCCAACACTTAGTTAAGAGGCACACGAAAAGGAAATTATTAGAGCGACAAAAAGTAATGTAACTCCTTCTTGTAACGGGACAACTTCGTACGAGCAAAACGGGAAGAATGCTATTTTAATTTAATTTATGTGAAATTAACTGTTTTTTTTTTCATTCTTCTTATTAGTTTAGAGACAGAGCAGACAGCGAGCCAGCGTAAGTGTAACTTAGAATATTGTCTGGTTTATATAGATTTTTTTAATAATATTATTATTGTTCATTACATGTCAATTAGTCGGACATAGTCATAGTCATACAATTATTATTTTTTTAATTAATCTATTAAATGTTATTAATAAATTCAGCCTATATAATTATTAGTATTAGATGTTTATCGTGGCGATGGTATCGTTGAATTGGATTATGTTGAAAAGCGATGTGTCAACAAGGTCAGGCTGAAAATCAGTACCGCGAGGCATACAGTCACAAGGATTATACTGAGCCTGTTCCTTCCACGCACTATATTGTTGTTCCCACAATATTGTATATTATTATGTTCTGTACGTATTACTGTGTGTGGTAAATAAATGGTTTAAATGGTTTAAATGGTTTAAAAGGTGTAAAAATACGGTCTCTCCATAGATATAGTATAGTAATGACGAATGACTTACGTCACAAAGCACATATATATTAAATAAATATACAACTTCTTTAGTTCTATGTTTAAGACTTAAAACAACAGTAAATTTAAAAAAAACTGGAAGAGTAAAAAGCACTAGTGCGAGAAATCCAACTTTCCGCACGATTTGTAGTGCGAAAAATACCACGTTTTGAGCAACTGTATTAAAAAAATAATATTTGTATGTTATAGTTTTGACTTCCTATTTTCTGGTTAAATTCCATTTGTTTTTGTTTGTTTATGCTATTGAATTAATTTAATTTTAAATGCATGCTACATCAAAAGTGAAATTAGAATTGTGTAAAATAATCGCATGCCGAGTCTTAGTGAAATGTACGATCTAATATAATATTAGGTATACTATAAGACCTGCACTGTTAGCTACGTTTTACAGGGAATAAATATCTAGTACGTTGTAAAAAATTACCAGAAGGTTTGCAGTATTTTGGCTAAGAATAAGATTATCGATTCATAATAATCTTATTACTGAGTATCAAAAAACCGATCTTAATATTTCATGGAATTATGTCTATTAGCCAACCTTTATTGAAATCGATTACGGGAAAATGCGCGAAACCGGATTCATCCCCTAGTTTGCCACCCTTAGAGAGGGAATATTTTCTTCAAATTGAAATGAGACTACTACCCTCTTTCCACTACAATAAGAATCATCAAAATCGATTGACAAATGCTAGCGTAATCGTGTAATATACGCACAAAAAAACACATCAAAAAAATACAAACATCCTCCTTTTTTTAAAGTCGGTTAAAAATGCCTTTTGATTCCTAAGCGCGAGATCTTCGATGTAATATTCGACTTCTAAATCGTCTACATAAAGTATATTCAGTAAGAGGAACACCGAGAGAAGAGGGATTTGAAGCCTTATATGATATTTCCATATTAACGTCATGTGAAAATAATGTTCTTTTAAACAGCAAGCTCCAAATACTTGTAGAAAAAACCGAGTCATGGCTGACAGACCACAATCTAGAAATTAACTATGCAAAAACTAAATTAATGTCTTTTCACCCACATCAAAAACAACCAATCAATATTAATTTTAGTTATAAAAACATAAATTTGGAAGTAGTAAATAGTTGGACTTTGCTTGGCTTAAATATAGATTCCAATGTTAATTTTAAATCACATATTCAAAAAATTCGTATGAAAATGTCAAAATTTTATTATGCACTTTATGAAATAAAAAAAACTACAGACACACAAACAGCGATAACGACGTACTACGCATATGCCTATGCTTGGCTAAGTTACGGTGTTACTCTGTGGGGTAATAGCACTGATGCACCATCGCTTTTCACATTACAGAAAAAAATAATAAGAATAATTTGTAACATAAAACAAACCGACACATGCAAGCCTCACTTTCAAAAACACAAAATACTAACCTTATATGCATACATGCATTTATATTTTAGAAACGTGTAAATTTGTACGTAAACACCCAGAATTATACACCAAACGCTCAGACCTCCCCACACACCACACATCAAGGTACCCAAACAAATTAATGCTGCCCCGCTCTCGTCTCAAAATACATGCAGATGGCCCATTGGCCATGTCCATTAAAATTTATAACAAATTACCCGTCAAAATTCTGAATATAGATAATAATAATAAATTTATATCAGAGCTGAAACAAATTCTTCTGTCGAAAAGCTATTACAATGTTGATGATTATTTAAACGATAGATACATAATTAATTAATGGCTTGACATTTTAAATAGACTTAAATTCTAATTATTTGACATTTTAAATGTATATAAATGCTAATTATTTGACATTTTAAATAGTTTTTAGTTTGACTACAGGATAATTATTATTGACATTTATTTTTCATAAAAATTTTTAATATTTGGTGCATTTAATTTTTAAGATTTATAATTTGTACAATTGTTCATATCTGGAAATAAATATATCAACATAGCGTCCTCCTCTCTACCGAAATTGCTGTGCCCAACAGGGTCCACAATTGATGCTCATAGATATAAGTTTTTCATCTCTGTATTTTTACATTGTGGAATGCAATAAATTACTGATTACTGATTACTGATTACCTTAACTCCATAATCTACAGAGAGCTAATACACAAATTGACAAGTCCCTAGTGCCTGTAATTTCACCAGCGCCGCTACCCTTCTAAGCCGGAACGCAGTAATGCTTCGAGAAACGCCTACTGCTGACGACAGAAATGGGTACTTCCCTGGCCGAACACTTTCACAAGGGGCTCTGCGGCTACTAACCCTATCTGACTGTATATCTTATTTAGTACAAAGGTGTGTAATTTATTAACTAATTAAGTCTCATTTCTTCTCAATTAAGGAACTTCTCAAAATTTTCGAGTTATTTTCTTGTTTATCTAATATACCATTAATTACAAACTTGTTATTAGAATAGGAGTAATCCGGTGTTGGTTTAAGATGCCCCGACGTGATTGGAATATTTTAGATGCCTTTCGGAAGTGAGAGAGGTATTATTTCTCCTATATATTTAATAAAAATCAGCTGTCCATGCGTCTATTTTTATTTTTTTCTAGAGGATTGACTTTCTTACTATGCGTGTTATCACTATCATCAAACCCTAGATGTCGAACTACTGGGCATATATTGCAGATTTCATTGCAATGTTTTCATTCACATTTAAACATACGTTGGTCTAAACGACACATGAGTCAAAAAGATTCAGTGGTATGGGTATTAGGTAGGCATGAAATCCAGGATCTTCTTTTTTTGAATGATATCAAGTGACGGCACGAACAAATCGTGCACCTGATGTATAGCGACACGCGTATCCATAGCAGTTCCAGTGGCACTCGGGGCTTTAAATCTTAACGATCTGAGCAACATTGTCACTGTGCCCGTAACCCTGAGACATAAGATGACATCTCATGTAACTGTAATTTCACCAGCCTTCAAAATCGGAACGCAGTAATACGCACATACATTCTTTGCTTGGCGGCAGAAATAGGTACATGACAGTAAAGCGCGCAAGAGTCAATAGTAGCAACTCCTATCATCTGTCAAACAGGGATCCTGGATGAACATAACATCTGGGAGAAGCTAGATTCTCCCCCTTCCCCTCCTCACGACGAAGCAGGCCACACCGCCCCGTCGTCCTACTCGCACTACCAAACTTACTGGCGAATGGAGCCAGACGGTAGACCGCTGTCGAGCGGGATCGACCCTCTCCCGGTCATCAAATTGTTTTATACATTACTGCACTTTTTGTCAAACTTAAGTTAGGCATAAAAAAAATTCCCGAAACGTTGTAAAGTTGAGATCCCCACACTGATTGGGAAAGAGGCTGAAAGAGCTAATGATCTTTCTTCTGACCTTTTTGAAGGATATCCCCAATCTATATCAAGATTATTGAGGTCTGTCTATACTCACATTTCCATCCTTTCGGAGATAGTTAAGGGTAAAAAAACGTTAGAACTTGGCTTTACAAAAGACCTTTAAACTCCTTACGGCGAAAGAGTCGAGTCTGTATGCCTGTGGCTATATCTATTCATAACTTGAAGTTGTTTAGTTGTTTATTGTCTATCAGATTGTTTGTTTTCCTACTTTTTGTCTTAATTAATATATATTTAGGGGAGCATAGGTTTATTTATAAGTTAATTTAAAAAAATATATATATATATGTATATATATTATAAAATTTTAAAGGCACATTTAAAAAAAATTCTATACCTTGAAATCTATTTTAAATAATATTCATTTACAAATAAAAATGATAATGTGGCGGAAAAACACTCCAATTACCTTAATTATTACTATGAATATCAGAGCAAAGAAATTAACTTCTGGGCACCCAGAATCAATTTAGAAATATTCACTTTTATTCACGATTTGGGAATCGGAACCTTCAACTACATTGTTAACCACTGGGTCACCGGGATCGTCAATCTTTACTTAGACAACAAATAATTACTTAGATGTAAGTATCTATAATAATTTTAAGTATCTAAGTAATTATTTATAGGTAACACGCAATATCCCGATTAAAACTTGTTTACGAACACTTGGAATAACACTCTTAGAAGAATTTACTCTGCTAAGCACGTAAACGAGACTGCGTCACACAATATTCATTTTTCTTTAATTTGATTAAAGTTGCACCAAAAGAGATGTGACAAAATATAAATAATATGTACCTATGTATTTATTTCATTATATCAAGGGACGGGACGAACTAGTCGAGTGGCTGGTGGAATTAGTAGCAGTAGAGGTCCTTGTGAAAGGCGTCGTCCAGGGTAGTACTGCCGCCTTACCTATTTCTGCCGCCAAGCAGTAATGTCAGCATTACTGTATTGCGGTTTTGAAAGGTTAGGGCGCGTTTCTATTATGTCGTGA